GGCCATGGCTGGGGGTTTGCACCCCGGGGCTCACCTCTGCCTGTGCTGGGAATGCAGGATCCTGTGGCAAGGCAGAGGGGATGCCCTGCCCGCCCGCCCCGGGAGGAACACCACTGCACCCAGCCTGCACCCACTGGAATCCCAGCCCGCCTCGCTGCCCACGCTCACCCCAGTGAGCCCCCCAGCTGCCAGCAGACCGTAAGCGAAGCGTCAGTGAGCCCAAGCCCCATATTTTGGCGTCTGAGCACCGGCTGGGGTCACGGCTGGCCACCCTGACTCTGCCCCATCTTTTTTAGGGCACCAGGGACAAAGCCGGTGGCCAAGGGAACCCCCTTACCCCTGGGGCTGAACTCGGTTAAAATCCACTGCCAGAATGAAGCCGTCTACCAATACCACGTCACCTTCAGGTATCAGCGTGGGTATGGAGGGCTGGGGGTACCCCTGCAGCCCCTCGAAGCGGGGGTGTCCCCGTGGCAGAGCCCTCCGTGTCTCTCCATCCGTCCCAGTAGCCACTAGATGGAGTGGCCGGCGCATCCACGGCGCCTGCGGGCAGCAAAGCAAAGGAGCTCTGGCGTTTTCCCCTCAGAGTGGGAGGTGGATTTGGGGTCCTGAGCAGGGTCTGGCTGGGGGGAGGCAGGGGAGAGTTAAAAGACCGAGGAGTTGCCAGCGGCGGCAGCATCCCGGTGTCTCTGGCAGCCCCGAGGTGGAGTGCAGGAACATGCGTTTCGCCATGCTGAAGGAGCACCGGGCAGTGACGGGGGACGTGACGGCATTCGATGGCTCCATCCTCTACCTGCCCATCCTGCTCCCCCAGGTAATAGGGGAGCGGTGCCATCTGCCCCAGGGGCAGGGGCTGTTCTGGCCGATTTGGGGGCACAGTGATGCCCCCCCCAGCTCTGGGTTTCTTCACCCCATGTGCCAGGTAAAACCTTCCTCTTGCCCTGCAGCAGGTCAGCATGAAGGTTCAGAGGAGGAGCGACGGGGAGGAGATCACCATCACCATCCAGATAACCAAAATCCTCGAGCCCAGCTCGGATCTCTGCATCCCCTTTTACAACGTGGTTTTCCGGAGGTGAGGGACAGCAGAGACCCTCCCTGAGCTCCAGGGAGGAGAAAAAAACCTCCTCCTCCTTCCTCCCAAGCCTGAGCCCATCCTGCTTTTATTTTCTTTTCTAGGGCAATGAGAATCTTAGGTATGAAGCTTGTTGGGAGAAATTTCTATGAACCTACCCAGGCCACCATATTACATCATCACAGGTGGGTGCTAGACACGTATTTTTTTTTCTTGCTGCTGCCCAAGCACATGGGTGCGAGACGGGGACGTCCCTGTCCCCCCCGCCAGTCTGCAAATGGGGCAGTCCTTGCCAGGTCAGCTCTCTGGGCCAGCTCTGGTTAGCCTGACCTCAGAGCGCCTGTTTTCTGCAGTGCAATTCAGGGGTTATTAGCTAAAACCTGGCAGCCAGCTGGGAAATAAATTGAGCACTCTGTGGCGAGCGGGATGGCTGCCCGGTTCCTCTGGCAGCGCCGTGCGGGCGGCTCCGGTTTAACCCAGGAGCTGTTGGGCATCTTCCCTTGCCGGGCACAGGGTGCAGATTTGGCCAGGATACTCTGTCAGCATCCGGAAGAAGGACGGTGGCCTCTTTCTCTTGGTCGATGCTATCCACAAAATCATCCGCAGCGATTCCGTCCTGAATTTCATGTAAGAGAAGGGAGGAAAAAAACTGCAGGAGCCCAGTGGGGTTTTAGGGGTGAGGGTGGTTTTCCAGCAGCCACATGCCTGGGGTTGGCTTGTGGTGAGGGCAGTGCCAGCTGCAGCTGCCAGGCTGCGGGTCACGGGTGCCGTTTGGCAAAAGGGATTTAATTTTTGGGGTGGAACAGGCAAGGAGCATCACCCTGAGCCTCTCCTCGTCCCTCTCCCCCCGCCGCAGGCACGCCATCTACAAGCAGAGCCTCAGCAGCTTCCAGGACGAGTGCATCAAGCAGGTGGTGGGTAGCACGGTCATCACCCGCTACAACAACCGCACCTACCGCATCGACGATATCGACTGGAACAAGACCCCGAGGCACAGTTTCACCATGGCCAGCGGCGAGGAGATCACCTTCGTGGACTACTACAGGTAGAGAGCGGATGGAGCATCCCTTGGGAAGGGGGTCTGTCTGTGGGGAAGGGCTTGACACCCGGTTCTGACCCAGTAGAGGAGCAGCAGTGTCTCTCCTGATGCCATTTCCTGCTGTTTTTTCCAGCAAAGCCTACGGGATCACTATCAGGGAGCTGGACCAGCCGCTGCTCATCCACAGGCCCAGGGAAAAACAGACGCCAGAGGGGAGGGTGAGCCAGGCTCAGGGACCTGGGGACAGGAAATCAGACACGCACACCCCCCTTATTTTTTTCTCAGCTCCTCCAGTCTCTGTTGCTTGCAGCCCCCTTGGGGTGCTGATACCTTGTCCCTGTCTCTGCAGCGTCCTCTGGACATGGTCCTGCTCGTGCCGGAGCTCACCTTCATGACCGGCCTCCCCGAGTTAAGGAGGGACAGTCGCACGGTCAAGGTCGAGTGTGTTTGTGTCTGCTGGGCCCCGCTCACCCCAGCCCGGTTTGAAGAGCTGAGCCCCAGCCAGCCGCTGTTGAGGGGGGGGAGCTCAAAGTCCCCCCAACATCCCACCCAGGGGGCTTCCCCAACCGGCTCCTTCCCCTGCAGGAGGTGATGCGGGAGGTGCTGCAGAGCCCCCAGCAGCACTACACACGTCTCACCAGCCTCCTGCGCAGGATCAGGGACAGCCCCGAGGCCTCGCGGGAGCTGATGCGCTGGGGGCTCAGCCTGGACACAGACATCCACAGGGTAGGGGCTGCGGGGTGCTCAGCTCCGAGTTTCCCCCTCCCTGGGAACGGGGCAGCACTGGAGCGACCGTGGTTCTTTTCTCTGTTCAGACCCAGGGCCGAATCCTGCCCATGGAGAGGATCAACCTGCGGCACGGCTCTTTCATCCCCACCGAGGACCTGAGCTGGAACAAGGAGGTGACACGAGAAGCCTCCATCTCGGCGGTGAGCCCGTGGCTCGGCTGTTGCAACAACATCCCCTTGTTTGAAAACTGGGATGGGTTTTCTTAGTGCTGGCACCCCGCTCCCGCCTGAGCTTGTTCGAGCTAAAACCCTTCCCTTATTTACGTTGGCTTTATGCTTCAGCCTGTTTTTCCTGAGGAGGTTAGAGGTACGTGGCCGTGGCATCTGCTTTCCCGGAGTGTCTGAAACGTTCCAGCCTGCACAAATCGGATGTTGTTGTGTGCCTTTTGAGTTCCTTTTGGGCCACTTCCCCCCATATCCTGCTGTGCTGCGGGGCTGGGAGCCACGTGGTTGGGCAGCCCCAGCCCCGAGGCGAGGGTTGTCCTCCCCTTTCTTTTAGATCACTATGAATTACTGGTTGCTGGTTTACCCCAAGCGCCTGCAGGACCTGGTGAAGGATTTGGTGGCCACCATGAAGAACGTCTGTGGCCCCATCGGCATGCACATCAGCCAGCCTGCCTTGGTCGAGCTGAAGGATGACCGCATCGAGACCTACATCAAGACAATCCGCAGCATTTTGGGTAGCGAGGTGAGGAGAGAAACTCAGGGGAGGGGATTAATGTGGCTGCTGGGGAGGGCTGGGCAGTTTGGGGGTTCTTCTCAGACCCCCACACATTCCCCCCCTCTGGTGCTCTGCTTCACCCCAGGACAAGGTGCAGCTTCTCCTGTGCATCATCTCCAGCAATCGGGAGGATTTGTACGGGGCCATCAAGAAGCTGTGCTGCGTGCAGATCCCGGTGCCCTCCCAGGTAGGTGAGAAGCTCAGCAGAAGGGGAAGCTGGGGGCAATCTCCAGCCTCGCTTTTCCCTGGATTTCTTTTTTTTTTTTTTAATTTTGGGGTTTTTTCTCTCAGGTCATCAATGTGCAGTCCCTCATGGGCCAGCCGGGCAAGATGAAGAGCGTGGTCCAGAAAGTCCTGCTGCAGATAAACTGCAAGCTGGGCGGCGAGCTCTGGGGGGTCGACATCCCCCTGGTAAAGCGGGCAAAAACCCCTCGGCACAGGCGGGCCATCGATTTGTGACCTCGGGGGTGTGAACTTGGGCTTCCTTCCCTCTGGGGATGTGGAGGAAACACCTGGAATTGGGGGCTGTGTCTCTCTGTTTTGTGTCTGCAACGCCCCTCCGCCCCCCCCCCCCCCAAGAAACAGCTGATGGTGATCGGTATGGACATCTACCACAGCCACAGCAGAGGGACTCGCTCCGTCATCGGCTTCGTGGCCAGCATGAATCAGTACGTGGTGCCTCGGGGCCGGGGGGGGGAAGATTTTCCTCCCACCCCACCCTGGGAGATGTGTGGGGGGGGGGTGTCCCGTTTTTTTCAGGAAGGGGGAAAAGCTGATGCCTTCTGTGCTCAGCGAACTCGCCGCCAGTGCCGTGTTGGTGGGAAAAGCACCAAAACGGGGTTGGTTTGGGTTGTGGCAACAGCTCGGTGGATTTTGGGTGGTGAGGAGAGAGGTGGGGGGGCTGCCTGACGCTTCTCCCTGCTCCGTCCCCAGCGTCCTCACCAAGTGGTACTCCAGGGTGGTTTTCCAAATGCCCCACCAGGAGATCGCCGACAGCCTCCGCCTCTGCCTGGCTGATACCCTCCAGCACTTCCACGAGGTGAGCCCAAACCCCGCTGGAAAAAAAAACCAAAAAAACCCACAACCCTCCCCGTGGTTTAATGTCTGCTCAAAACGGGGAAAAAACCACCCTGAACCTGTCAACCCCGGCGCTTGCGAGCCAACAAAACATCCTCAGCAGCCTTTGGACTGGATGTGGTGCCTGCAGCCGCTTGCCCTTATCTGGGGAACGTGGGAACCACCTCGAGGATTTGTTTGCGCCACGCTAACGCCTCTGCTCGGTACCAGTGGAACTGCTGAGCCCTGGCCTCTTGTCCCTGTCCCCAGTGTGAGAAAAGCAGCGTGGAGGGGGGCCAGGACCTGCTCCCGGGATTTTCCCATCCTTCCGTGGGTGCTGGAGGTTCGCTGCTCACTGAAGGCTTGTCCGTGGGCAGGATTAGTGCAAAGTCTTCTCTCTGACCTGCCAGCCCTCCTAAAACTTGTGTTGAAACACATTTGCTGCTTCTAGGAGGGGCTTTAAGCGTGGCTTGAATTCACAGCCTGCCTTAAATCTGTCCTGGAGACTCGGGTGAGCCGAGCTTCTTGCCAGGGCACACGTCTTCCCCCCTCCACCAACCAGTCCTGTGCCCGGTGAGGAGAAAAAAAAAAACCAAAACGAAATTCTTCCAATTTCTGCTTCCCCAGATGAATCACTGCTTGCCCCAAAAGATAGTGTTGTACAGGGACGGCGTGTCCGACAGCCAGCTCAACACCGTGCTCAAGTACGAGATCCCGCAGATGCAGAAATGTTTCGACGCTTTTGAGAACTACCAGCCCAGCATGGTGGTGGTGGTGGTGCAGAAACAAATCAGCACCAATTTCTACACCCTGACAGCAGAGAAATTTGCCTCCCCTCCTCCAGGGACCGTCATTGACCACACTGTCACCAGCTCCGACTGGTGAGTGGCAGCGGGGAAAGCTGCCTGGGGTGCAAAAAACCCACACCTGTTGTGCCCAAAAACATAAATATTGGGGGGTGCAAAAAAAAAATACCCAACGTTTTTTCCTCCTTTTCAGGCAGGATTTCTTTTTGTTGGCCCATCACTCGCGCCAGGGCTGCGGTATCCCCACGCGCTACGTCTGCGTGCTGAACACGGCCAACCTCAGCTTCGAGCACCTGCAGAGGTGAGGGCGGGTTCCCCATGTCTTCTCCTCCCAAATTGTTGGCTTTTTTAATGCAAAACAGTCCTCTGGAGTTAGTGGAGAGGGTGGTAGGTACCTGCTCTTTGTACTGGGGTAGCTGGGAGGGCTCTTGAGGCGGGTGGGGGGAGAGGAGGTGGATCAAATCGAGCGTGATAAAGGAAAGAATCTGTGTTGCCCAGTGCTGGCCTTGCAGGCGCGGTGCTGTGGGTTCAAACAGGGCTCAAACAGCACCCGGGTAATTAGCGCAATCAGGCGTTATCAGCGCCCAGGCAGCGCCTGACCTTTAACTCGTGGAATCCGGATTAAAAAAAACCCACCCCCAGGAGCAGGTTTGGCCTCGCTGCTAGAGCCCGACGCTGCCTTAGGGAGCAGGATGCAGCCCCCAAGCCCCGCTCCTGGGTGCTGGGGAGCACTAATACACCCCCCCCCCCCTCCTGTCC